CTGTTGTGCAACTGTTTGCATTCTCTTCTTTTTGTGCAATTAAAATAAAAGTAATGTTGATCTCCACGCTGTCCAGCACTTAAGTCTAACATCACTTCTGGGTCCAAACTCCTCTTCAATTCCCAAACTCAAACACTACGCGATCACTGAGACAGAAAAAAAAAAAAAAAAAAACCTCTGAATTCTTTCATCTTTAATATATTGATCACTGCGGTTGCTCTACCAAGTGTAACAATAAAGTTTTAACATCCAGGCATCCATGAAAATTTATGAAGTTTAACGATTTAGCTTATTAGTTTCCATCTAAAGATGATATACAACTTCTGACTGAGGGATTTGTGAAAACTAAAACGTACAGCTCTGCTATCACTTTGGACATAAATGAAGACAGAAAACTAAGCAACAGTGATGTTTGTAGGGTTACTGAAGTTAGGCTAGCTAATAATAAGGGTGTGTAAAGTGGTGGCGAGTTAGGATAATATAATAAACACATTAATAAACACACAGAAAAGCGCTATACAAATACAGGCCATTTACCATTTACATTAGCATAGTGAAGCTAGAGGATGAATGCTAACTTTTTTGAGCTATGATTAAATGCAATTGCATGGTTCGCATGGCAGGAAAAAGATGCTGAAAACACACCAAATTTCAGTCAGGAGAACTGAAATAGTCCATCCACAATACATTAATATACTGCTGCATGGTTTGAATTACATGCTATGAAAAACTCCTGATCCTCAGCTTCATGTATCCATTCAAATCCTTGCTAGCCTCAGAATGATTCCTTTCTGACCAGTTCAAATATTTAATGTCTGGCAAACCATGAGCAGATGGGCTGTAGTTACTTTGTAGAAGTAACTAAAAACTGGGCTTTAAAACTTCAAATGGATAGTGATGATAATAAAAACCCAGAGAGGCCAACAGTGATCACTGACTACTTTTAGGGCCTTGTTCAGATTAAATAGAACAAGATACAAGCGTTAAAACACGTTAAAAAGACAACATCCTTAATCCCTAATGAATGCAGTGTAGTTTGGCCCCAGAAGCAGGGATTTTACGTCTTCATTTAACAACTGGATTTTCCTCCTCTGATACACAAACTGAAATCAGATGATTGTAGCCCAAGTGCAAGAACCAATAAGTGGGATTGAAAGGCAAGCAGGCTCACAATTCCAAGGAACTGGACTACTGGGAACTACTTGTTCTTTGCTGGATTTCAATTATATGACCACGAATTCTTTTACCTTTTACTTCTAGTTTCTTCAAATTATATACATATATAAAATATGAGCTTACCACTCATATTTGAAAACTGGTCAACGCAAAAGTGACTTGGAAGACTGTAAACAACTACAAACATCTGCAGCAGACTGATAAGAGAGCGATAATCTCATGTGGAAAATAAGGCTGAGGGAGATCCTTTAATGATTGCATTAATATAAACTGGGGGTCATTTCTATAATTACAACATGTGTAATCTTACACACCTTGCAGGGAAACTTCAAAGTGTTAAAAATAACTGCCTCCTCATGTTTTAATTTGCCTCAGGATAACTGTTACAAGAAATGCTGGTACAGACTGAAGTAACCACATTAGTATGACTGCAGGCTCTGTAGCTGCCGTTAAGCATAGAGAGGTAACTCGGCATCAACAGAACTCACCTGGAGGGTTTCATACCATCTGTTTGTGAGTGTGCATTTTATACCTTCATGCAGACTGATTGGCTACTATTTAGTGAATGAGAATTAGATCCCCTTGTATTTCCTATCAATTTTCAAAACAGGAAGCCGAAAAAAAAAGCTATAAGGATGAGTTAACTTTGCCTTTCTACGCGTCTTAAAGTCATACTTGTGCTATATACAACCTCATTAAACCGGCTAAAAACCCTTAAAGTAGCTCAACCTAATTTTTGCAAACTGCTACCAAAAATAGTTTCAGTTTTTAGATAATTGTTATGATTATTTTTAAATGTGTATTATTACTAAAATTATCATTGTTAACCAACAAGTGGACAGAGCTGAACTGTTTTATTCCTTCATTCAGATGAAAATTGGTGATCGGAGAATAACTTCCACATCCTTTCCTCCCACTCAACAAAATCATAAATTATGTATGTGTGTGTTGTTGTAGCCTATGACCCAAACGTGATGGGAAGGATTTGAACATCATTTTAACCTTGTTCAATAATTGCTTTTTTAATTTTACCACACTTAAGTTGGTGAATAAAAAAAGAATATAAAATGAGCAAACCTTGCGTGGGGAGTTTGATGTGAACAGGTATCACACACCCCGCACTGTGATTTGACTCACACTTTTCATTTTTTATTCATTTATTTTGTTTGTGCCTTCTTTAGGAACACTTTCTCTTATTTTTAAGTGCCATGTTTACCACACAAATCCTCAAACTTACTTTATACTCACTTTAACAATAATCAATTGACATTCATCCATACACATGCGATTACAAAACACCTGACGTGGGTATCATTGATTCATCCTCCATTTTTAGTTTGAGTTATTTTTGAGCTTCATAAAATTAATGTGTGAACCAGAAATTAATAACTACCTTATAAGTCTGAACCACACTTACTTCAGACTAAATGACTTTTCCTCTTCCTCCTCTCCATATATATTTTTTTGTATACGAGGGTTTAAAGCTTGACACCGTTTCGTGTGTGCACAGAATCGGTCCAGGATTACTCTCTTTGACATTGTAACACTACTCAACCAGAAACCTGAAGCAACTGAAGTTCACTTTGGTCTCATGCCTCTTAAGCCTTAATTGCTGCCAAACTCATTTCTTATCAAATGACAGTAGTGGTTAGAAGGAACGTCAGAGCAGACGGTCTGCAGAGGTTAAAACCCTTCCCCGTGGCTGTGTAATGTTTTCCCATCAATCCTGATGACATGAGCGCTCACACCCATCCCATTTTTTTCCCTTCACAAAACTAAATTTTTTTGCTTCCCACCTGTCAGGTTGTGTGAGGGGAATGATATAGGACACATTTAAGGTCTTAGCTATTCTATGTTTTGTATGTATCTATTACATCTTTTACTTCAAAGTTTACTTCACTGGATTGTTATAAGTCAATTTAAAATTAAAAACCAATTTACAAGGGCTTCTAAGAGACAGTCTTAATGTACTGCTTCACTAATTCAAAAAAAATATCTTATCATATCTTTTTTTCTGAATAGCTGTATCACAACAAAACACCAGCATGGTTTTTATTGTTTAGCCATATGTTTTGGAACACAACTTCAACATGTATCAAAACAAAGGGATACTGATCCATCAATAGCTTTATACACAATGGAGTTTGTACAGCTGCGCATCTGTAACATTGATTAGCCAGACTACACAAAAAATAAATAAATAAGTAATAAAACCACAGGGCCTTGACAGAGGACCTCGTGGAGCGTCTTGTGGGTAGCTTGACCCTGAAAATGGAGTGATTTCAGTTTCTGTTTGCTTTTTGGATGTTCAGCTGCTCTGGCTTCTTAGGTTACAAGGAAACAGCGCAATCACAAATATGTGTGTTGCATTATTTATGAGGACATCTTAATTTTGTTTGAAAAAACATGTTCCTGCCAAACTGAAATTAGGACTACTGATGATTTTGAATGGTTCTAATTATGTGTCATCTTTTGGAAAACTCGAAGGCTTGAAATCCACTCAACATTTAATTTACCTATACAAATATTTGAGCACAATAACACTTTTGATTGAAATGACTTAAGCGTCCAGAAACGTGAACATTGAAATCGTTATTGTTTCCACTCCACTTGGCAGCAGCAGGAAGAGGGTTTAGTCTCGGAGCTCTGATGGGTGGTAACCTTTAAATGAGTCTGAGGCAGCAGAACATCTCATTACCGTGGAGACGAGAGGTAAACACATCCTTCGACGAAGGACCGTGACAAAGAGCGCTAATTAACAAGGAGTTAAACACTTTAAAAGGCCTGATGAAAGAGTGAGAGGAAACACACAGAAATGCGTACACAGACACACACACAGACACCTTAATCTATGCGATGATAAGCAGAACACATTTACCGCAAATAGCTGTTGAAGAAACATTCAAAGCCAAATGTATACTGCTAATCCTATGCCAATTATAAGTTTAAATGAAGACATTCTATAAGAATGTAATCACAATCATGTGTTAACCTTATGTTGTACGGGTGAACCGATGTTCATTAGGAACAGGAACTATTCGGTATTTGCTGGGAACTACATCAATGCATAACTGAGGTAGAGTTATGACAGTAGAACAAATACCAAAACACTGTTTGGTTGATCTTTAAGATGGAGTGTCTTGCTCAAGGAAGCTGCTTTGCAGCCTTAAAATCTTCAGGATATTATCTGAGAAATATGTGAAAACATAACATTTCAGACAGTTGCAAAGTTTGAGGGATATCGTGATCTCTAACCATCTCATCTAACCAGCATCTTTATCATCTGCTTTATCATCTTTATCATCTGGCCTTTCAAAGAAGGCTAGTTGGTGTGCACACTCTGACCAAAAATACAGAAAAGTTATAAGAAAGTATCTGTTACATATAGTCTAGAAAAAGGAACTGGGGACAACATCTCGACTCGATACTCCCATTCATGTGTTAAAAAAGGTGAAAGATTGTATGTAAACTCCCAAGTTCCATGTTTCATTCCCATGCAGACAAGTAAGATTGAGGGTAGGCTTTTTACCAGATTAGCAACTTTTACAGACATCTTTTCACAGACAGATTTTTCTCTTCAGTTCTAGAAATATTTCCGGGTTTTCTATTATTTTTTCCATGTGGCACCAGGCAGGTTTCTAGAGCTTTTTTTCTCTAAAAGAAAATGAAACCTTCATTAAAATACTGCATTTACTGCACGTGTGAGAAATATGTAAGAAACAAAGTCAGAAAGAGGGCAAATCCTTTCCCACAGCACGGTATATCGGGCTTTTACAGCTTAGTGTTCTTTGTAACCTTTCAGAGTTTAGAGAAGCTCTCACTACCTTTGTCACTGAAGTCATCCACCAGTATGACCTCTGTGATGAGCTGCGGGGGAGAGCGGTTGAGCACACTGTGAACAGTCCTTAGCAGAGATGACCAGCCCTCATTGTGGAAAGGGATGATGATACTGGTGTTGGGAAGCTTTTCTGCATACAGCTTCTGTCTGCAGCTAGACACACACATGTACACGTACACAGACAAAATAGAAATAGATGTAGCACACTTGCAAATACATATATAAACACAGCGTATTCAAGAAAGGACAAGAGCATCTTATTCATATCCTGCATACTGCCTGGAATCATTCTGGGTTTTTTTTTTCTTTTTCTTGCACACTTGTCTCTTCAGTACATCTCAGGTCACAAAGAACATGTATATATATCAGCACTCAAATGAATGTGTATGGGCATGGTGAGCAGATGGCAGCTCTACTCATTTCACTGAAATACAGGTGCAATTTTCTCTGAAAGCTCAACTCAATTCCCTTTCTATCATCTGCTATTACAGAGACAATTGCATTTGTTCACCTCTTAGTAAGAAGAAAACAAAGAACAGCAGAAAACAATTTCAAGGACTGCTTTCCAATACACTCCGGACATAGTAGTGGTGGACAAGCAGACGAAGACGACCACAGTGATAGACGTAGCAATACCGAAAAACAGCAACATCAGGAAGAAGGAACACGAAAAGCTGGAAAAGTACCAAGGGCTCAGAGAAGAGCTCGAGAAGATGTGGAGGGCGAAGGTAACAGTGGTCCCAGTGGTATCAAAGCACTCTATGGAGTGACCGCAAAGCTAGACGAGTGGCTCCAGCAGATCCCAGGAACAACATCAGAGACCTCTTTTATGGTTGAATGTCCCTTAGTAAGGAGGCATGTTTTGTCCAAAACCAGACATTTTTGCTAGCCATCAACAAACTGGCATAATTCTGTCTGAATATTTGGCCACTCTTCTTTTCAGAATCGGTAGATTATTTAAATTTGAGGTTGGAGCTTTGAGAAGAGCATTCTAGAAGTGTAATGCTAGCCTGCAAGAATTTCAGTCAAGCTTGAAGGTGTTGATTTTACTGTACGTCTTCTGTCTCTCGCCTTTCCTGTTAAAAGGGAGTTTTTCCTTCTCACTGGCGCCAAAGTGCTTGCTCATAGGTGGTCATATGATTGTTGGGTTTTCCTGTGTATGTATTATTGCAGGGTCTACCTTATAATATAAAACACCTTGAGGCGACTGAGGTTGTGATTTGGTGAAGTACAAATAAAACTAAAATTGAACATTCTGAAGCAGGGGCTTCTTTCTTGGTCTGCACTCTCTCAGTCCATGGTGGTCTAAAACTTGCTTCACTGTGGATAGTGACCCTAGTGTTTCAGCAGCTTCTAGCTTAGCATAGGCTTGAGCTTTGGTGGTTCCTGGGTTGCTCCTGAACATCCTAATTTTCTTTTATCTGAGGGTGACAATTTGCTGAGTTCTGGAAGTCTTCCCAGACATAGTGACACATCCACATAACCTGTAACCTGTACTCATCAGTTGTTTGAACTGATGAGCTTTGAATCAGCAGTTGTTTAAAAATGTCTTGAAAAGAACTTCCAACCTCATGTAAATTCACAATTCTCCTTCTTAGATCTTCACTGAGTTCCTTATGCTTTCTCATTGTTCGAAGTATTAGTCAATTCAGTGAGAACTATTAAACAAGTCCTTATCATGCTTTCAAAGACAAATTAGTTTTTATGGTCATGATCATGATCACTAAGGGGATGTTAATAGGCTTTGGCCTTATCAAAAACACTGTAGAACTTTCAGCACTATTTAATCAAACATTGAAGTGAAATAAAAGTGTCTAAATTCTTTTACATTTAACAGAAAAATGAGACATCATATATTGTTACAAAACTAATCTTAAGTTTGAGTTTTTCTTTTGGAATACTTTAACTGCTGAGTTTAACAGGTTTTAATCTTTGAAAGAAAAGGGAAACAAAAGACCTAAAGTCATATCATGTGGAACACACAGTATGAATAGGGAAAAAAAAGGCTGTGTTCCACTGCCTGTCAGTAATTTTACCAGCCTTGTTTAGTCAGTGAAACAGAAGCATTAAGAACTAGAAACCTTTCCTTTAACATACCAAGCAGTGACTGTGCAAGTACAATAGTTAGGCACTGTGACAGGAACGCTTTAAGTTAGTTACATCTAATAGATTGTGATGAAGCCGGAGCCTCACAAAAGTGACTGGCTGAGCGAATCTGACTATATTCACATGTTTATTTTGTGTTCTTCTTCTTTTTTTTGACAGAGAAACTTCAAAGTAAATTTCATGTCTCTACTGTTAAACTTCATCCATCCAATAAGAGCTTCTTTCATCAGCTCAGATTTACAAACATAGAAAATTTGGTCTGCCGTTGGTCTTCAGGAGGTATTGTGGACTTTACATCAGAGATTGTAGTGTTATATTCATTTTTTCACATTTACTTTCATGATGTTTTAAAAGTGCAACCATCATTTTAGATCAATTGTTTTTGAAGCTTTTTGGTTAAAGCCAATGATCTAATCTTTAATTGAGAGTTGCATAAAAAAGGTTACAAATTTGTTCTCATCATGTATATTTACATGGTTGTCATGTGTTCCAAGGTAGTCATGTGATCAAAGAGAATAAACTGGAGCTAGGATGACAGCTTTGTGACATTTTCTAAAGCAAAGACCTTCAGATATGCTGCTAAATACATACTTAATTACTCGTGTCAAGAATGTCACCGACACGTTCCTCCTGTATCAGGGACAGTTGAACTTAGAGCAGTTATCAGCTGGCAACATGTGCTCTGACGATGGGCTGCAGCTTCCATCTTGTGCATTAGCATCGCAGCAAGAGGCAGGACCCCTGCAGAGGTGTTAATCATAAGAGGACAGTTATATTCCTGCTCTGACAGAGAGAAAGTGTAAGTGTGTAGTGAACTGTGTCAGTCGATCAATGTCTGTGTTGAACATCAGCCTGCGTGTTATTCATTCAAATAAGAACACTGGGAGACAGGCAGGCTGACTGATCGACAGGCAGCTGGCCGACGAATCTTAACAAACCTTGTCCAATTCCACAAGGGGAGGGAGTAAGTGTGTGCTTCAATTAAATCTTTTCAGTGTGCAGAAATCGAATGTGTCAGTCTCAGGTCTGGGACTGGGTGACTCTGGGGCAGTGACAACATGCCAATCACTAAGAGGCAGACGGTGCCTATAGGGCAGACCAGGTGGAGGGGTTGGGTACAGGTGTGTCTGTCTGATTGGTCACACAGGAGTGATGAATGATGGCAGCCAGTTGGAGTAACACCAGTAATCAATGACACTCCTTCATTTAAGATATTACCATGCTAATAATTCAATTACAGCCTCACGGAACCAAGATGACTGCAGCAGCTGTCATGTAAACACCTGAAGTTTTTATGACCTTCCTAAATCTAAACACACTCCAAACATAGTGATTTCAAATCGGAAGAGAGTGTTCATAGGTATGAAAGTAACTGTGAATAGTATCAGACTAAATGTGGTCACTCAGAATACAGAATAAGTACCTGTGTAAGGTGTACCTTTACTCGTTCTTTCTTTGTGTAGATCCACACCAGTTGGATTTGGAAATAAAGTGCATACTTGCATAAGAAATTAGCTTACTATGCGGGGATGTTTTGTGATGATAGATTCACATTTAGTATAAGCAGGAAAACACAGGTCATCACAAGAGATGTGGCAGGTCAAGGAAAGAACGGCTTCTACAAACACTAAAAGAAAGAAACAGTCCTTGTGGAAAGCAGCTTTGAAAGCTTCCTTTCAAAGCTGCTTTCCACATGAAGGAGGAGGAAGGGTCAAGAGTCAGTGGAAAGTTCTCGTCAGGTAAAAGCAAAGCTGTGATTAAAGGTCTTTCACAATGCCAGTCTATGCTTGAAGGAAGCACACAGTTCACAGGAGTCTGGACAGGTTCTTCTTTCTTTCTCTCTCTTTTTTTAAATTCCACTTTTTTCTTGGTGTACCAAAGCCCCAGAAGTAATCCCTGACAAACACTAAACCAAACATGCTCCCTGTGACCTGCTGTTCCTGAGAAGATGAATTGATTCTTTGGGCTTTATTAAATAGGTCAAAATGTTGGCTTCTTATAAACACTTCTGGCGAGACACCAGTTCAAATAATCCATGCAGTGGCATCTGTCATATCTAATCGTAGACATGCATGTCAGTAACACATAATCATTTTCAGGCTCCTCTTGGACTTGAAAGCATTATAAAAATGGAGGAAAAAACACATTATGTTCAAAATTGTTCTTCATTTTCCAAAGTTTCATTGTAGATTTGATACAAGAGGCCCACAAGGTGAGTAATGAGGGCACACATGCTGATTTAACTCTGAACAATTTAGCCTTCAATTCTAAAATAAAATATTGCTTGCTTTTGCTTATTTTCAGAACCCAGTCTAAAAGAAATGGACATTCATGGAAAAACAACATTTGAATGGAGAGGATGACTACATCAGAAATCCAAAGTATTCAATAAAAACTCAGAAGATTCGATTTCTGGCTTTGGAGTGCATCCATTTACCTGAAGTGCACACAGACACACACAGACACGCAACTCACTTTTCATGGCGGATGTCAGGGAGAGAGCGGTTGAGAGAGATTCGGTCGCTGACATAAATGTTGAAGCCGTTTTCCCTGTAGGCTTGGTCGACTCTGTCATTTTCTGTCAGAGGGAACGGCTTCCCCTGCTCACCATTACCTATCAAAGACACATGTATAGGTCAACAAATAAAGAGAAGAAAAAACAACACATTAAAAACGAAAACACCACAAACACAGAAGAGAAGTCCAACTCGGTACCTCGAACATGAAACCTCTCAAACAGTTAGCAACCAATTCAGCACATACCTGTCACTCAAAGTGTCCATGTCCAAGTCATAACTTTTCATTTTAAAGGATAAGTTGTTTTTTTTAACCTCCTAAGACCCAAACTCTTCCACGGCATGCACTTTTAATTTCTCTTTGATATTTGGGCTGATTGGGACCTGATGAATGTAAAAACAAAGAATTACCAGATTTTTTTTTTTTACCTAATTTTTGTTTCTAAGAAAAATGAGAGCTACATATGAGGATATTCGTTTAAAATTTCGATAGAACAGTAGCAGTATAATGTCCTCGTAAGTGGATATCAGGCCCTTGTAGAGCAAAATGTGATGTCCACATATGTGGACGCCAGGTCCTAGGAGGTTAAAATATCATGCACAGTTGACATAAAAAGGGGAGATTTTTTCTAACAATCAAAATCACCTTTTATAAGATCTAACTAGGCTGTAAACATGTTTATTTCTGCTTCAACGAAAACCGTGACCGAGGACAAGCTGATGGCATCAGATGTAAGTACAACTCCTCCGGTTTCATATGCAAAACAAATGATTGCGCTAGCTTACACGGTTCAGGTTCTACAGGGACTTAAAAATAGTTACGCAAAACGGAGCGTGCTGCTCTGACCGGCTTTAAAGGGTTAACAATGACTTTAAAAAATAATATAAAATGGTGTGCAACACCACTGAAGTTTTTTTTTAAACTCTCTTTTCAACCAACGGCAGTCACTGTCCAAATAACTTCTGCTTAGCTTTCCGAGCTTCCCTCGGGTCCTCTTAATCAGCGGTCTCCAACCTTTTTTGCGCCACGGGCGGTTTATGCCCGACAATATTTTCACGGACCGGCCTTTAAGGTGTCGCGGATAAATTAGGGAGGGGCTAATAATCGGCTCAGTCATTTTTAATGATCGTTGAAAGCCCAGATCGTAATCGTGATTAAAATTCGATTAATTGAGCAGCCCTACTTTCAAGTTCAGCATTTTAATATATGGTTCTCTAAGACTGGACTTACTTTTGCAGCTAGCCTCAAGTGGTCGTTTAAGTACTTCCAAAATTTAAGTTGTCATGGTTTATATTTGAAGAATATACATCACTATAGGATTGAGATCTATAAGGTCTATTTATTAATATATATGAGGTACGCAACTCTGAAAGATATTCTTAATAGATAACCAGAACTGTGTTGTTTCTTTGGCTTTAAAGGAGTTTTTTTTTCCCCTGTTTCTTGGTTATTCAAATCATTTGAATAACAAACATATGTATATACACACACACACACACACACACACACTTGTAATTTCTTTTTCAACACTTGATTTTCCAGCTTGTAACAATAATGTCTGTCTATGTCAGTGTTATCATTTAGGTTGTTGAACAACTAGGACAAACAAGTATATATTTGTGTATTAAAGAAAGTAGATTAATATCAGACATGAAGGTAAAATCAAAGTGTTAAACACTTTGATTTTACCTTCATGTCTGATATTACAGTGTTTAACACTTTGCAAAGTATTAAAACTTGAACTAAATTTTTAATATTGATGGGAAGACAGCAAGATGTGCTAAAGCTTAAGCCCACACAAAGAACCTAGCAGCTACATTTAAAAAATGATTTGGTACAAGTGAATTCAGAGTTACAGTCATCAAAATATAAATAAATGGTAAGCATAATCATTGCATTCGTCTTAGCCTGAAATATACTCAAACCAGGCTCAGCAATCCTGCATAATTAAAAAAAACAAAAAACAAACCAAAAACACACATGAGAAATATTCTGCAGTGTCTATTCGTATCTTTCTGCAGAAAATACTTTCTTGCATTTTGGGGACTAAAGTGGCAGAACTACCTAAATAAAACTGTAGAAATTATCTGCCATCCAAACATAAAGAAATGTACAGTATTTTCTGAATGTCATCTGTACAGCAGTGATAAGGTTTACTATATCATATTCACCATATTATATGCCCAAGGCATAATGTTTGCAAAGTAAACAAAAGAAGAAAGAACATCGGCACAAAAGTCAAACAGGAAAAAAAAAAAAAAACAGATTCAGCCTCAGAAAGCATCATATTCAGCAGAAATCCACTGAGATCCAACAGTATCTACAGTCATATTGCATTAGGCTTTCCATCTACTCCTCATCAAGTTTGAAAAAATAGTTTTAGCTAAAGTTGTTTGGAGAGCAAGGAGTTTGGATTGCTTCAATTCAATTTAAATTCATTTAAATTCAATTAAATGGTAGAAATGGGGATGCCATTTGTTCTGTTGCACCTAATTAATGAGTGGCTAATTATTCGTACTGATGATGTTAGCACCTTGAGTGAAGTGAATGAAGAAGCACGTAGCAGACATTTAGTCAGCATAACTTGGGTCTGCAAAGAAAAATGCAACTCTAACTTGCTGAATCATTTCCAGACGTGGACACTCTCCTCATATTTCATTGTTTATAATTTAAAGAATTTCCAAAGTATGAGAAAAATGCATATTTTCGCCTTGTGTGTTCCCACGTAATAGTCTTCAATTTGAATATAATTAGTTCATGGCTGTTGTGTTAACAAGGTGCAACAAGCTGTCAATATCGGCTAATCAGTTAATTGTTTAGAGTATGACACATCAAGTGTTTGTACAGTAACTATATAATACATATATTCAGCAAGTAGTTCAGATGTTTGACATGAACACATACTTCTGTGCCTAATCGTATTCTGTAATCTTTATCAATGCACAAACATTGTGAAGCTTAAGCTCATATCAAAAGTGCATCAAATTACACTGTGCTGCTTGTTTCATTAGCCACTTATCAATGCTCTCCACAAAAATATACACACAGGCGCACAGACGCTCTATAGTCAGAGAAGAGCAACAAATTAAACTGAACTGCCTTGTTCCATTAGGCAGAAATGATCTGTCTATATTCCTGAAGGTAACAACTGTGGAAAATAACTCCTCACTTTAATGGCTCATTTCAGCGATAAACCCACTTCTACCTAGTTCTGTACTTTTCCCGGTTATTAGAAAGATCTTTGAAATTGGGATTACTAGCCTTCCTCAGGCAAATACAAACTACACAGAGACAAATTATTTTTTAATGTTTTTTGGGGGGTTGTTTTGTGTGGTCTTTCTGGCATCAGATTTATCGTTTTCATTATTTTCATTATGTTAGCAAATACAGTCACTCAGCTGATCATGGGTCTGCGCTAAGGAGAAGAAGCAAAAAGAAGAAATAGATGGAAGAAAATTGGAAGTGTATTATTCTCTGTTTTAATATTGGTCTTTATTTATTGAGAATTTACATATGAGCTGAAAAAAAAAAAAGAGCGTGAATGAGTGACTTGAATGCAATAATGTCAAGCATTGATTGCAAACACTCTGAAGGGTTTCCATTGTATAAGAAGCTTTAATGTGCCCTCCTAAATTGTGCACATATAAGAAGAGGACATTCATGGGGTTCATTGATGTTGCTTGCAGAACAAGGTGCATGAAAGGTTTGAAAATCATCTGTTGGATCTCTTCTTAGGGTACAGTATATCCAAGGACTTTACGATCTTTTGGTCATGTTCAACAGTTATGGGAAGGTGGAGCATGAGATGTAGTGTCAGCATGACACAGGCGCTGTAGTGGTCATTAAGATTATAGGAGAGTTGAGCTGAAAAGCAAAGCTTTTGTTTTGTAAATCTACATTTAAACTATATGTAGCAATGAGCTATGGTTAGTGGCCAAAACAATGATATCCAGGATCTCAAATTTCCTCTCTAAGACATCTGAGCTAAGCCTTAGAAATAGTGTGAAGAGTTCAGACACCAAGAGAGAGTAAAGTTGGTTCAGCCTGAACCAACTGAGATCTAATCTAATCACGGTGCCTCCTGAGCACCTTCCTGTGAAGGTTTTCTGGGGATACCTAGCAGAGAGAAAATCTAAGGTAGACCCAGAACTCACCGAGGGGATTATTTATCTCATCTAGCCTGAGAGCATCTCAAGCATTCTCCAGGAGGGACTGAAAAGCCCTGATTGGAAGAAGGATATCTGCAAACCTTTCTTAGCCTGCAATTTCATACCCGACTTTGCATAAACCGAAGAAAAAAAAACAAACAGATATAATTAATCTTTTCTTGATCAATATGAAGCACCACATGTCTGTAGGCCAACCAGCTCGAATAAATCACACACACTTGATAATAGGGATGCTGTGCTTTTCTGAGGGACGAACTTAACTGATCTAGCTCCCACGTTTTCTTTTCATGCCCATATTATACATCAGATTGCACCTTTATGTCATTCTTTCCTTAAAAATATGAAAGTGCAAGGATTTTCTATTCATTAAAGCTTCAGAATGTTTAGACATTTTCCTCAGTGTTAGAACCTTATCAACAATGGCATGTATGAGTTTTAAGCTTGTAGACTAGATGTTTGAAGGTTAACCAGATGCATCTGAGATGTTAGAATGTTTACATTTGTCTTTATTATCAATGCTGTTTTCTCCAAGCTGTTGAAGAGCATCACTGTCTATTGAGAAAATTAATGACTCATTAAATCTTTAAACAAGGGTACCTGAAAAAGCTGAACTCACTTTGCATATTTCTAATTTCTCTATATGCTTTAATGTGGTAGTTCAAACAAGGCTCAAACAACTGATTTTCTTCCATAATAACTACAATGTAATTCTATAAAAAGAGTTCAAAAGGGATGATAATCTATGTTTCCCACTCGAGGTCTTGTTGTACAAGATTAACTGTGTTTAATAATGAACTCAGAACAGCACTCAGAGCATTGATTCGCACTGGTTCTGAGAATGAGTGAGAAATCCACTTCGAGGGAATTAAGAGAAAAGCAGCACAACTTTAGAGTTTTAGTGTATGTGTGTGTGGCCTTCTGCTAAAACAGAGCAGATGTTCTGAAAAACAGCAGCATCAGCAAAAAGTTTGTACCTACCCATCCGTGCAGCATCTCTCCTTATTGCCTCGTAGTCGTGCCAGTCGATCCGCCGCACACCGTCAAGTCCCACCTGAGTGACCTTACGCAGCTGGTTCAACCACTGCAGTGGTACAAAAAAAACATAAAAGCCTTTAAGACTTGCGTCACAACTTTTCAGCTAAACTTACCATGTGGATGTCAAGTTTTTATCCCTTACAAATGGCTCCAATGATGGATCTTTCCTCAAAATCATTACACAAGTATTCCAAATGAACGTCATTCAAGAAAGCTTGCTGAAGCATATTATTGTTGTCATTATGTTGATATGTTTCCATAGAAAACCGAGTGCTTTCTTAAATATAGACGCAGTGCAACTGATATTAGAGGAAGAGTGCAAAGGATGTTCACTGTATTGGATGTTAAACAGTAATATTGGTATCAAAAACTGCTTAAATACAATATATGGTTAATTCACGCTTTTTATATCTCGCCAGCCTTCCTGTTGTCTTTCCTTCTTAAAGCGTGCTGCTGACAGCTGGGGCTTTATAAAAAGAGGAGGGAGAGGGGATGTGCTTTTTATTTGTATAACACAGAAAATGACATTCAGTTTTCCTGTCATCACACACGCACACTCTTATCACCATAAGCCATTATTTTCTACACGGAATTAAAATGCAAAAAACTGCCATTTACAAAATTCTTCCCGCGTTAGAAATGACTTCTCAGTGTCTCGAGATATTACAGGATCACAGCACAATGGTTAATCAATTAGCTCCGTGGGAGGATGCAATTAGTGAATTGTTGTTAATACAAATGATAAGTCTGACTGCATGGAGTATTATTAACCAGGCTGTTAGCTGATACCACAGCAGAGTCAGACAAACAACGATGATGAATGTACAGCTGTTCGTTTATTTCCTCTTTGCTCTTCTGCTCAGTGTTAACACAGTCAGCCAATATCCTCTGTATTTCAGTAAGTATACTTTAATAATTTATCCCAAAAATGTAATATAGTATGCAATTTTACAACATCATTTTTAAACAAAGTATATAATCACAGTGGATGGACCAATTTAGACAAAAGCCCAGATGATTACAAAGGTCATGACTAAATATGACTCTCTGACCCCAAATACATGTTTGATCATCCTTAATGCCAGAGTCAGATTGTTAGGGAAAAAAAATTAGTTACCAAAATCATTATGATTCATGCTCTTGGCGCTGGGAACCTGATTAGGAGTTGAACTTGGCCGGCTGTGAGACAGGGAAAAATCGGGTCGTCTACTAATTGAAAGGCCAGTGGTTTGAGTCCTGGCTTCTACAGCCAACGTATCAAAGTGTCCTTGGGCAAGGTACTGAAAGCCAAAGACTGCCCTTAATGCAATATTGTATGAATTGAGTGTATGAATTTCCATCTAAATATGGCTTGTAGTGTCATGCACATTGAGTGGTCGATTAGACTAGAAAAGCACTACATAAAAGCTTATTTATCATTTATTGTCACTGAAGTTCTCCAACTTGTGGTGATGACAGGTGGAAAAACCTCAGGGAAGGTTTTCAAGTTAACTGTTTTCAACGGTTCTCTTTCCTCGGGCATCAATTAGGGCTGTTTTCTCAAAGCCGGTCGCATGAGTCATTCACCCACAAGGTGTCCGTTGGCGGCTGAGCTGGACGCATAAGGTTATGGCATTAGTGAGAGGCATCTGTCTCTTCCAAAAGGTCATTTTATCAAAGTTTACACACTAACGACGAGAGACTAATCTCAACTTTTTCTCAAGAAATTAAAGGAATTATGAGTGGGAGTGAAAATACTGTTAACATATGACATTCTGTGAAATACACAAGAAGGGGTCTCATACATTAGACCAACGAGACTAAATATCGACCACAAGATTACCAATTCCTTTATTTGTGTACAGACTTGACAGCTGAACTCTTCAGTTCTAAAATTAAATGACTGTAAAGCTTCAATTTAATGCAACAGCTCAGTCATTTCATGTGCTTTTACAATGATAATAAACTATGGTTTTTAGTGACACTGTTAGAGAGGTATTCATTTTTTTATAATACCTGTTTCCTTAGTCTTTTTTATTGAGGGTGTGGTTTGTAGCAATGTTATATCAGACTGCACATTATGAGATGTGACCAACCCATCTGTAATGCCTAATTAAGCATTCAGTGAATGTATAGCTGAGTGTGAATGCAAATAGAACTGCAAATTGCAGGCAAAGTGAAACGTGCTGCTAAAGCCAGAATTCGGCCAACCAACAATAATACAGAAAAAGCTAAACACAAGCTAAAGAGAAACCTGCCAAACCAAAGAAAACTACTGGAGCTACTGTTAAACACTGCAGCTGTCCTTCAAGCATTATTTGAGACAGTAAATATTTGAAGCATGATAGTTCCCAGTAAACTGTATTCTCTCTTAAATTTAATACTTGTGATTAGGGCTGCACGATTAATCGTTAGAAAATCGCGATCTCGATTCATACTTATGTGCGATCTCATTTCCAAATGACAACGATTTAAAAAAAAAACAAAAAAAAAAAAAGACGACGACGACTGTACCGCATTTTGATCCGGGACGTAATCTGCATGAAAACAAGCGCTCACTCTTCCTGCTCAACAAATGAAAAGGGCGGAGCCTTATACCACGTGATACAGAAGCTGTGCTGTGTGATGCTAAAATTAGCAGGGAAAAAACAACGGAGAGCACGTCAGGGATGACGAGAAAGTGACAGGAGAAAATCCGTCCCGGTCAACCACCCAAACATCAATAATGGAACATTATACAGCGCTTCCCTATACCCGTCGAACTCCCGCAGGCACAAAGAAATTACGGAGGCTATCACTTATCACCTGACCAAAGATATGGCTCCCATCAACACTGTGCAATATGAGGGATTTAGGAAAATGATCAACACCCTAGACAAACGCGACACAGTGCCGTCCCGCAACTATTTTTCTATTGTTGCACTACCTGCTCTATACACGCAGTGTCGAGCAACAGTGGAGACGGAATTTCAAGCAGTACAACATTTTGCGGCAACGACAAAACGTGAGACATTTGTTGTTTTTATGTTTATTTATTGTTTTTATGTTCAGTTTCAACTGTTACGAAGTTGATGTGCAGTTAATAAGTGCAATAAATATTTATATTGGAAAAGAAAATCGTGAGAGAATCGTGATCTCAATTCTAAGCCAAAAAAATCGTGATTCTCATTTTATGCAAAATCGTGCAGCCCTACTTGTGATGAAAATATAGGTCCAAATCATGATGCTAATGAAGATGGTCTTAGCCATAGTTGAATCTGGCAAAGTCTGGTGGATTCACTGTTGAAAAACCAGCAACCTGATGTAACGTGCAGTGGAGGTGAAGCCAGCCGCGGAGGTGTGCAGGTGGATAGCGAATGAGCAACAGCTTCTGACTTTCCAAAAAGTACTCATTTATTTCATCCATTCGCTTCCGCTTATGCTGTTCAGGGTCGCGGGGGGCGCTGGAGCCTATCCCAGCTGTCATAGGGCGAGAGGCAGGGTACACCCTGGACAGGTCGCCAGTCTGTCGCAGGGCCAACACACAGGGACAGACAACCATTTGCACTCACGTTCATTCGCACATTCACACCTAGTGACAATTTGGATTATCCAATTAACCTATCCCCACAAGCTGCATGTCTTTGGACAGTGGGAGGAAGCCGGAGTACCCGGAGGGAACCCACGCAAACACGGGGAGAACATGCAAACTCCACACAGAAAGACCCCGGCCTGGTGTTGGAATTGAACTCAGGACCTTCTTGATGTGCGGCAACAGTGCTAACCACCGTGCCACCGTGCTGCCGAAAATAAATATAATAAAATAAATCAAAAATAAAAGTGCTACCTCTAACACACATTACTAAAGAGCACACTAGTCCGCGTACACATGGGAGCATCCATTACAGGAGGAGTGCGAAGAAGAACAAAAAAGGGGGTGACACCAGTCGTGAGACAGGAGGCGCCGCCATGTGGTGATACACTGCATTACAATAGCAACTGTTACACTGTTTGTGCAATGAGGTTGTTGAATTAAAGACACCATCGCCTCCTTCCAGCTGAAGTTAATGATGGAGCACATCACTAAATTAATTTATTTAGCATCGATTTGGAGCTGCCAGCTAAAACCTCGCATTAACTTTTCTAATTGTCTCAAACTCCATCCTCATTCCTCTTTTTTGGTTCATATTTTCTCCCAGTGTGTCGTGCCAGGACCTGACAGGCAGTTAGAGTCCATCTGTGTGTTTCCCACTGAAAGGAAGCGACACTGCGCTGCCCCATTTCCTTTTGATTAAAATTTCAGCACACGTCGGCGTGATATTCCACTGGGGCTTTCTGCTCTAACAAGACCTTGAAAAACAAGACAAGGAGAATGAGAAACTTTTGTAATCTGAGTCTCTGCGAGAATCTTAGTGTGACTTTGCCTAGGTGTTATGCTGTTTTTCTCAGCCTCAGCCCAGGCACACCACATAAACACATGCAAAATAAGAGACAAGATGTGGGTGAGAAGCTGATTGAGATAAACAAAAAGACAGAAAGGAATTTAAAAAAGAAAAAAAAAATCTATTTCTTCTTGTTCCATTTCTTCCCATATCTACCGCTTTCTCACACCTGCACGTGCACTCCAGAAGCAGATGCAGAGGACCACGCAAAGAATAAACAGCCAAGGGAATTTAAATCCCAGAAAAGCTGTCGTAATCACTCAACACAATAATGCAGGAAATGGAACTGGACACCACATTAACCCAGCTTTCTAGTGGAATATCCATTGCCTTCCCACAATAAAGGTGCACACATTTCAATTTATTTCATTTCAATTGAATATGGTTCAGTTGGAAATCACCATCATTCTGTATATGATGATGATGATGATGATGATGATGCGCCCACCCAGCTGCAAATACTAGACTGCAATGAGTACAGAATATTCTTGCATGAGCTGCTGGAGACAAGCCAGAAAATGAAAATAATGTACCTTTAGAAGTCAACTGCATTAAAATAAATTTCCCCTGATAGTTTGTAGGGATTTTTTTTCCTCTGGCTTGTGGTAATACACATGTAACCTGCTAATGACAAGGTCGCAATCAT